TTCAGAGGCTGAGCTGATGTTACCTATGATTAGAATATATTTGCTATCCTGAGCCATTTAGATTCAGAAGCCAGAGTCATTTTGCCTTCCCTCCTGTCAAGCCATTAAATCCATGTTCTATTCTCTGGCAGCTGTTTTTGCCATTTACGTTAAAAGCAGATGGAGAAAATGCAAACAACTGTCAGTTTTATTGCCATGTATAATCAGCATCTGGGCTGTACATTACAGAGACAATCAATCCAAATTCATATTTAACTGGGTATTGTAAAACTTTTCTGAATCTGTCTCCAAATTAGAAAAAGTGCTATTTTTTAATCATTTTGATCATAGAAAATTCAACCTGTTATATATTTTTCAGTCTCTATATGAATAATGTGTGTAAGTATTGGTTTAATATATAGTTACTGAATTATGTACAAAAATACTAGGGGCTGGAGATTTAGCTCAGTGGCATAAGCACCTGCCCTGCAAGCAGGCAGTCGTGAGTTCGATTCCCGGTACCGATAAAAAGGAAAAAGACAAAAAAAAAAAAAAAATACTGTTAATTAGTTTTTAAATATATATTTATATTTATTATATTTTTATTTTTATATTAGAGACTATAAATATTTTATATTAGCAAATCATCATAGATTGCCTCATTTGTATATGTATAACTAATATATATTGTAGAATTGTTATATAATGCTATATATATGAATGGTTTTATATATATATATATACATACATTCTCATATTTTTATTCTTTTACTTTTCAAAATAAAAACACTTGCTTTCCACCTTACATAGTTCTTACCTAAATATTATGTTCTGTTTTCTACATTTTGCAGAAAGGGAATCCAGCACACAAAAAAGGAAAATAGTTTTTCTAAGGTCCATAAAACTAACCAGAGGCAGGTCCAATATTTAATCCAAATCTACCTAAATCCAAAGCTCACACTCATAATCACTAAAAGACACATTAAAAAAAAAACTCAAGACTTTTTAAGGAGAGCTATTTAAGATTTAGCATATGATATTATTTTATGTAGTCTGCCAAAGTAACTGGATTTGCAAAATATTGAGAATGGGTAGAAATTGAATGTCAGTGAGCTATAACTATATTTTTAAATGTCCTAGAATTGTTTAGTACCTTGTAAACGTTTTCTAGCTAGTTGGCGATTTTTTTGGTTTCCTAACCATGGTGTGTGCTGTAAATTTTTGCTGACATATGATCTCACTGATAGCATTGCATTTTATGTCACTGTGTGCTTCAGTCGACAGTGATGGAATTGAAATTAATTGGGTTAAAAGTTAAGCCTGAACATAATTGCCATGTTCTAAGAGTTCCGAAAATACAATAGAAGGAAATGCCATGATTTCCATTTTTAAAAACTTGGAGACATAGCCATTAAGTGGTGTATATTGCTTTTGTAAGTTAGAAACAAAGGCATTGAAACTTACTTGTGTCTTACAGTAGGTATACTCAGATAGCAGTAGGTATACTCAGAAAAATGTAGGACTGGGAGAGAAGAAAAGAAAGTTCTGACCCTGACTAAGCATACTGACATTTTTTAGTATAGTAGTAAAACTGTTCATTTTATGATCTTATTGACATATAACTAAAATTTCCTTCTAAAGTAGAAGTGGTTAAAGCCATACATATGTATATATGTGTCTAGATTTATATAGGTATTTGTGTGCACACATGTACTCACAATGATGACTTTTTAATATTTGACCAAATGAATCATGAGAAGGGAAAAGTTCTGGTTACATTTACATGGAAAAAATTATCAGAGTATGCAATGTATACAATTTTCTCTACTTCTCATGTTGCAAAATAATTTTTACTTTCAAAATCAAAATATTGCATTTTCTCCAAAGGCTTGACTTTTGGAAGTCTCTTGGTTATAATGGATTTTATCTTCTGCATGCAAATGTATCTTAGCTGTTACATTATCTGTTTTTGTAACTCTGGAATGTCTTTAATTAGATTCTTCATGGAACAATGGATTCAAATTAGCACTGTAAAATTCAGCAGATTTGATGCTATTAGATCAGAAGATTAAAGGAGCTAGAAAATGCTATTTGATTTTTTTACCATTACCTGGAAACTGTAATATTCACGTCTCATATGTTTTGTTACTTTGGCTTAAAGACTTTTTCCCTTGTTTCAATAGGGAGATACAATTTGAGATGAGTGTTGTTTGCAGTTTATCCACTATTTCGTAATGAAAAAGAAAAACACTTCATCTTAAATTTTCCAGAAAATACATAATTAACTGCTTGTTCACTAACAAAATGAGACAGCAGACATTTTGAAATATTTTTTTGGATGTTTGTCAATAGTAGTATATTTTCCTGCTTGAAAATCTGGCTCTTGGAATAAAGGATGCAATTACATGTTGCCTTAATGGACTGCTGAGACAGTGTAATAAAAAACCAATTAGCTGCTGAGTCAGTGTAAATAACAATATAAGCTCTCTTTCGGATGCTTTTAAACAGGATTGAAAATACATAGATAAATGCAGGAAAGCAGTCAGACCCACGGTATATGTCATTGTTCAGCTTACTGTTGTATACTTCGTAAGTGAAGCTGTTTGCCATGTGAATATTAAGTCATGGTGCATCATAATATTGAACAATACATCAGCATCATTGTTCTATCTTTAAACTTCAATATAAAATCTAATACTATACTATCAGAAAATCTTGTTTTATAACTTGTAGTGTGCATTTTCTAAAAATTACGACCTTATTTTTAACTTTGTGTTTTGTTTGCATTGGTAGGGATATTTATCAATAAAATGAATTGTAGATTAAGCATAAATTATAACATATCTGAGCATGTCTAGAGATCTTAGTGATTGTTGTAACTGTTCTAGTCGTTCTGACTGAATTGTGAACTTTCAGGGAAGATCTTCAGCCATTGACTAAAATTTGTGAAAACAAGATACTGACTTTCCAGAAATGACAATGATGAAAATAGCATTTTATAGAAATTCTTAATGAAGAAATTAGTTTTGATAGCTGACTGAAAAACTAGACTGTCAGTGAAACATCCATGAGGGAATAAATATGTCTGCTTTTCATCACCATGAAGTTCCAACCATATAATATAATTTGCACAGAATGGAAATAAAGCATATTACTGATAATTAATGAGTGATAAATCTTGTTTGGTATTGTTTTCAAAGCATCAAAATAATATTTATGAAAACTGGTTTGTGAAGAAATGTTGCACTCCTGTTAGAAGAAATCTGTATTTACTAAGAATTGGTACATTTTTCCTCATTGGTGTTCTGTGTTCTGTGAACAAATCATTATGAATTGAAATCAGATTCTTTGAATCTAAATTCAAATTCTTGGTAGTATTTCATTTATAGCTTATCTTGTTTGTATTTTTATTGATTATGTGTTAACATTTAAAGTGTTCATTGCAAGAGTGGGTCAAGGCCAAAAAGAAAAAAAAATCCTTTTGCTATCCCATCAATTTAACATAATCAATAATGTAATAGTGAAATGTTTCAAACACAGTTTGTTATATTTAGAGGTTCTTTAAAAGGTCCGATGTTTTAAGGCCTACATCAGTAGTGTAAATGTCACACCCAGTTTTTTTCATAGCTTGTGTCCCACTTTCCAACTTGAATTTGCCACTTAAGAGTCAGCAATGTTTTAGCAGGAAATGTACACACATGAATACAAAATACATTTATATGTGCCACTCAAATACATACTTAAATGTATATACATAGGTACATGCACATATATATCTATGTATATCCAGCCATGCATACACGTGTATGTTTTTATGTATATATAATTATATAGATTTTAATTTAAGGAGACAAATGCAGTTTATGCCTGACACTCAGTAAAATGATTGGATATGGGGAATGGGCTCAATTGTTGCAGGAAGGAGGCATGGAAAACAATTTCTATGACTCCCAATATCACAAACACCACAGAAGAATGTAATATTTTAAAAGTTAGAGGGACTCCCCTTCCCTTGTCCCCCAGCCAGGAGCTGAAATTAAGACAAGGCTGAAGCGACTGCTGGGGACATCTTCTGAGAGAGGGAAACGACCCTGGTTTCTCTTGCACTCTACTGTTGAGTCTTTCCCTGGTGACCCTCAGTGGCCAGATTCACAGATGCCAGTTGGCGAGTGAGCCTGGGCTAGGCGGTCACCAGAGACAGCTTTCTGGAACACAAAGGAGAACTGAAAGGCAAAATAATGTTTATAGGGAGATGACTGAAGTTGAGAGCCAACATTTACAAAAATACCAGGTGACAAAGAAGTCTGCTACTTTGTGTGTTTCATAGCTAGGTGTGTAAACTCTTATCAGGAAGAGATCTTGCACTGTGATTCTAACCTGTCAGCAAAATACTTCTGTTGTGTTTGAATGTACTTTGCTGCCATGATTTTTAAGTGAGATATTTACAAAGTGAGCCAATAGAGTCCAGACTGTCTTACTGGAAGTATCTTGAGTTTACAGATACAGTATTTAAAATCTCACAGCGTAAGTGGCTTCAAAATTAATTTTGTGAGTATAATAATTTTTTAACCTTCAATATGCTTTTTATAGAGGGAAAGGGGGTTTATAAAATTTATTATTTGATAGTTTGCGAGTTAAAATTTCCTTTAAAACATATTATACATCTAAATTTAATGTCATTGTGTAGATCTCTTGTTTCTATTTAAGTTAGCAAATTTTATTCACAATGTGATTTCAAGAAGTATTTTTTCTTTGAAATAGAATACTGGCCTACATATGGATGGACCTATGGTGCTAAAACATATGAGTACTTTTATTATTTTTATCATGCCCTTGTTCTTAATTCCAGTTCTGCTCCACATTTAGGGGAAGGCATAATTAATTTTAGTAGTTATTTTTGGAAAAAATAAAATATTTCTCACGAAGTGTGCTGTTTACTTCTTTTCGTGAATTCTGAAGTTGAATTAAATGTAACCAAGAATTTGTGTTTCTATTTAAAAACTGAATTACTTTCATTGCAGACGCTTGGAACAGAATTCAATCAAGGTCATCCCTCCTGGAGCTTTCTCACCGTATAAAAAGCTTAGGAGAATGTAAGTGAACACTGTTCTTTAATATATATGATTTTTAAAACTGTATAGGTCATGACATGCAAGAAAAACAAACTCTTTGTTTAAGAGTTTGATAGCTTAAATATTAAGTGATGTGATATTTAATTGCTAGTTCTCTAATGTTTTAATCTTAATAGCTGATCCATGCAATTTTTAAAATTCTCTGTAATCCAACATGTAAATTCACCTATGTGTGAATGTATGTCATTATCATATTGTTACAGATCCATCAGAAGTTCAACTGTCAAAAATTATCATGTTTTTATCATTACGATTAATAAGCAAATGGCCAAAGGTTGATATTAAAATTGCAATTCATCTTTAAATTTAGAACTTTATAGATATTTTATGTTGGATATTGTACACATGCTCTGACACATAACAGCCTTAAGTAGCCCTGGAGACTCCAGGAAATCTTCCTGACCTCCTGTTTAATGTAACCTAACCCTATTTCTGACCTTAGTGACCTGAGCAATAATCAGATCTCTGAGCTGGCACCGGATGCTTTCCAAGGCCTGCGCTCTCTGAATTCACTGTAAGTACTCATGGTTTCACTAAAGAAAAACAGACCCCACCACCACAAACAGTGGCTGTTTGTAAAATGTGGGCTTAAGAAAAATACTCTTTTAAATTTTAGGATGACCTATGAAATATTAATATCCATTATGGTTAATCATTCATGAGTTTCATCACTTTTATGGTGAACTACTGCCTGTCACTAAAATTAACCAGCTTTTGGGGGTAGAGACTTTATGGTTTGATAACTTTACTGTTTAGAAGCTCAATGTAAAATCTCCTTTCTGATATTTGTTTTCTGTCTGAAATAAAGGAAAATGTTTATTTTGGAGGACTCTGGGAACTTGTATTTTTTGGTCTGTGACCCCGTAGCTTAAGTTTCTGGGGACTTTGACAGTGGCTTTGAGGATGATGCTGGTGGAATCTTGCTAAGAGCAGGAGAGGATGACCTTTGAGAGTTACTCTCTACTCCTTGCTCTGTACCTTAGGGTTTCCCTGAAATAACCAGCTCTAGTCTGACAGAACGGGGATGTTTGCTAATGTCAAGAGCACTTCCAGAGAGACAGCTATGCAAAGTGAACGTGTGTTTGTAAAGGTTGCCATTTCCTCAAACTTGTAAAAAGTTTTCAGATCCCATCAAGTAAAATAACCTTTATATTAAGAGTTTTCTGTTTTAAAGTGAAGGCTAACATGTTTTCTTGGGTTAAAAGTTCATGCTTAGAGAAGGATTTTCATTGATATAAATGGCTAATGATCTCTTTTGATGGTTAGAGGGCAGGGGCATTCCTGAGAATACCAGAGCACACTTGTGCACACCCAGGTGGATGTGTGGCTGGATGGAGCACTTTCCTCCACTCTGACCAAAGGGAAAACTAGACCAGCAGTAGTTTGCTAGGTTGATCTGCTTATAAAGCTTCAATTGTCCTTGAAGAAAGAAAATGAACAATAATCATTTGCCCTCTAGTAGAAGTGTGGGTTGGTATTAGTGGTTCTGCATTTTAGCTAGAGTAAACCCTTCACCAGAGAAACAATTGCTGGTGGAAAGTGCTGTGTGTGGTGCAGTATCACTCTCCAGGACAATTAGCAGGGTGCTAAATAACAGAGGTAATTGTGAAACTCAGTTCAGTCACAGAAACTAACAGGAATACTGTGTGGACCGTCCTACACTGTAGTATCATCCAAGGAAAGAACCAGAAACAACCTCCTGGGCATGCAAATGAGCAGAACGAAGTTAGATCATTACACCAGTTCCTGTCTGTGCTCTGAGACAACCTTCACAGTGTCGAGTAGGAGAAAAATCAATGAGAAATTCTTATTTAAATCTGTTTCCCTGACAAGTGTACTATTAATTTGTATTGCATTAATATTACTATTGACATTAAGGCAATATTACTATTGGCTGGGTGAGAATTAAAAGAAGAAAAGAAATAATAAGGTGAATAATAAACAGAATAACCAATTATAATATGTCCTTTATCTCAATAAATTATGTTAATAAATGTTATTCTCATGATTTTGCCTAAATTATTGTGCAATAATAAACATAGATACAATAGTGTTATAGGAAATATCAAGAGAAATGAAGCACCAAGTAAAGGGTGTGCTTTTTGCGTGGATGTCTTTGTCTCTATGATGACAACACTCAGCCACGCGGTTCTTTGAAACCCTGCAGAGAAGCTGTAGATAGGCATCATGTTCCGTTGTGGAACCAAATTTTAGTCAAGCTAAGTCACTGTGTTACTTCTAGTTCAAATCATAGCAGCATATGGAAGAAAAAGAACCATTTTCCAGAAGTGTAATGCGGTACTTACGCAAAATATTCTGTGAGGCAATAAAACAAGTGGGTGTGAAGAAAATCAAGTACGTTTTCTTGATTGTGTTCATAGCCTGAGTTAGTCTTCCAAAGACCAATTTGTTGAACTCTTCATAAAATACTATATAGCTTCATGAGTTTACAATAATTCTTTATTACCTGTTTAACAGAAATGTGTTGGACCCTGATTTTATGCCAGGTTCTTTTGTAACCAATGGGGAATGGAGAGGCTATACAAATCTTTGGAAAAATCCTTCCCTAAATGAAGAGACCAATAAAAGACTAAATATATTGACAAAATGTGTACTATGTCTGACAGTGAAAGATGCCATGAATTAAAAGGCAGGGTGCAGGACCAGGAATGCCATGGGAAAAAAAAAAAGAAGAAGAAGAAGCTGAAATACTGAAGAAAATGCCCAAGAAAGACCTTGTGAGAAGGTGATTTAGACAGATTGGAATATTCAGACTGCAGGACTGACTGTGGAAAGGCGCAGATATCTGCAGGAAGAATATGCAAGACAGAAGAGCAGCTCCACACTAAGACTCTGGGGCAGGAGTATGCCCAGAACCGTGGAAGAAAAATAAAATACAATGTGACCGGAGAGAAGTCAGTGATGCTTCAAACTGAAACAGTGAAAAGATTGCAGATGTGGATGACAGCAGAGTCTAGGATGCTACGTGGAAGAGGAGGTGATGGAGTTCATCAAAAGCTAAGACTGCTGAGAGGAATCATGCTGGAGACAGTGACAGGGAGCCAGGAGTTAAAATCTCCTAGAACAGAGTAGAGGGACTTGGAGGAGGTACATCATTGTAAGCATCATGCAAGTAGGCAACATTTCTGTTTTATTAATACAGCAAGATTCTGCTTATACGAGTTTCTCTTGAGCCTCATATATTCTGTGCCTTTCTGGAACCATATACAGCTAGATTAATTTAATCAAGATATTTGTTATAGAAGTGAAAATATTTAAATGGTAAGATGCCAAATATCTCTAAAGCATTTTGCCTCAAATACAAATTTTATGTTGTTATTTATAGACAAAAACAACCTTTATATTGTTAGTTATACACAGAATCTCTTAGAGGAAGTTGAATTTTATTACCAAGTACTGCTTAAAAGTTCTTCTATTAAATAAAATCATTAACATTTATTCATTGCTACTAACAGCATTAATTTTACATTTTAATTGCATAAATTGCAATGTAATATAGTAACAGATTGCAATATAGTAACATAATATTGCATAGTATATTATGATTAAAACATTATTAGCAAAATATTTTCTGCATGAATCAATCATTTTATTCTCAAGGACCTCTGTTTGTGTTGCAATGACAGTAACAAAGATTTTTCTAATAATTGATGTTCAAGAATTCAAAATAGTTAGCATTGTTGGTCATTAGCTTGTATTGTTTTATAAGTTGGAGATTTCCATTTATATTACCCATATAAAATGTATTGTAGCAGTATAGGATAGTGCTAAGGTTATAACCTTCAAGGACTACGTGATTTGTGTCCTGGCTCCATCTGGCTAATATGGTTAAACTAGGCACTAAATCCACTGAACCTCTCCTCTCCCCTCTCTAAAATGATGATTGCATTACTCTTCTTCTAGCTTCGTTAAAACACTGAATATACATCCAAGAGATATTAGGAATGGCCATGGAAAACTCTTCACCTCATACATACTAATTTGAAGATTTATGGATTTTAATTATCCTAGAGAATTTTTATGCCCAAGTTTCTCAGCATATGTTTTTCTCTTTTTCATATTTTTCTTTTTAACCTCTTGCAAATTATCACAGATCATTTATTCTAAATTTCTCTGTTCACAAACCAGCTTCCAGATTTCACAGAGGCCTATTGTGCAAGAATAGATTGCTGTATTTATATCTCCTACATTCTTTTTATTCAGTGGTGTTAACTCTTGTGCACAGTATCTTGCATTTGACTACTGGAGTTTCTATTAAAATGAAAATGTAGTGTCACCATTTTGTCATCTGCTTTTCCTTTACTCATTTAGCAGCTGCTTAATGTTGTGACTCAAATATACATGATTATTTTAAATTTATAAGCATAATATACTTCAGTAAGAGGACCAGTTCATGGTACTTTTTCATGATAATCACCTCACATGTTTCTGCATCAAACAGTTTTTCTTTCCTGGTGAGTTCTCTGCCCTGCCAGCTTTCCTCACAAGCAGGAGAATGTCAACTGGCCTCCAGAAGTCCCTGTCCCCTTCTATCCTAATGTTGACACACATGGGATTTAAATTGGTATTAGCATTCTTACCTTCCTTTTAGTGGCAAAGACTACAGCAGCCTTTTGATTTCCTGTTGTTGCAAAAGACTGTAAAAAAAATCCTCTATCACATTAATTGTAGCTTATCTGTGGTATCCTGAATACAAGCCGTGTGTAAGAACACCAGAGAGGCTACCCAATGTGCTGTATTAGTTTTGTTATTTGGATGATACCATATAAATCCCCTCAAGATTATTTCTTTTTCATCTGAATGAATTTATATTTTGCAATTTCTTTTTATATTTTCCTTCTTAAAATTGTAGCACAAAATCTCATTGGCCTTCTTGCATGTTCTATCGTTATGTGATGGTGTATTCTATACCTCTTTAGCTTAGTTTTGTTTTGTTTTGTTTTGTTTTGTTTTGTTTTGTTTTGTTTTGTTCCGAGACAGAGTCTCACTGTGCAATTCAGGCTGGCCTTGCATGCACTGCAGAGCCCAGGCTCACCTTAAACTCAACAGCAATCCTCCAGCCTCCATCTCCCAAGTGCTGGGATTACAGGCATGGGCCTCCATGTCCAGTTTTTTACCTCATGTGGATATATCTTAAGTCCTTTTCTTTAACCTTCGTCTGACTTCTCTGTCTTGCTCTCTAGATTTTTTTTTTACTAATTTTGTTGCTATCATTTTGATGCCATTGATATTTAAGAAAAATACACTGATCTAGTATTACCACACTTTTTTGTAAAGATATTCTATCACATTTAGAATTTTATTACAATATTCTTTGGTTGATAATTGCTACACCAGATAAACCTTTAAATTATATTTTCTGCTTCCTTGGGTGATTTCCTCATTTTTTTTCACCATTTACACATTTTGACTCATTAAAAATATTTATTATTCTTTATATTATCTTTGAGCAAATAGACTATGATATGTTCCTACAAAAAGGTAGTTTTAGAACAAAAATATGATGCCTCTTGTAATCAATCTCCTTTGCTATTTCAGCCAACCTTCAAACCAAAAGTCCCAACTGAAAAACACACTAATGTGGGCACCTTTTGATTTCCATTACTTTCCCACATTTATATTCTTTTGTTTTTGTTTTTAAATCTCAAATGATTAGAATATGAAATTTCTTCAGTATTCAGAGTTACTCTGTTGAACTGTTCTTTGAAGCCATCCACACCTTATATAAATCAGTTATGTGAATGCCAGACACCTGGATAAAAGAGGTACATTCAAGAGTAGTATTTGGATTCAACTTACTCGGGTATCTCAACTAAAACCTACCCAAGTTGCTGGCACATACAAGTACATACATCTGTCGTTAAGTGCATTAATTCAATAACACTGGATGGAATGTTCTATACTGGTGCCATTTTAATCTGCTCATTTGTATCTCTTATGCCCTCTACTCTTTTATTCTTAACCTCAAAACATACATTTACTCATACTTAACCTTTCTCACTACCCTTTCCACCTTGTCCCTGACAATATTGAGTTCTGCCTTTTGTTCTTTGATGCCTTCAAATCGATTCTACTGTAATGAATTTACCTTTCTGAAAACAACTATATTCTATACAAATGAAATTTTATGTTGTGCTCTTTAGCTGTAACATTGGAATCTGAACAAATGGCCTGTCTTTTCCGCCATGCAGCACCCAAGGTTATTTATTCTCTGGAGAGTTTTCTTCATATTTTGTAATATACCTTTTGTCTCTCTGACATCTTAAAAGGGGAGCATCATTGCCCTCGCTCTATCTCTTTTTGTAATTTTCTTTCTTTTCAAACAATTCATCTGTGGCTGCAGAATGTATTAATTATTTAGGATTTTATTTCAGTACTTTTTGGTTATATATCATCACATTCATTTCTTTCTTTTCCATAAGAATATCTTTCTGGTTTTTGAAAGTAATATATTTATTGTAGATGGTATAAAAACACAGGAAAATACATAGGTCAAACTTAAAGCATCTCCACATGGCAAAGCACTTTTTATATGTGTGTGTGTGTGTGTGTGTGTGTGTGTGTAACAAAAATAATAAATGCAAAAACGTACAACACTTTGATTTTTAAAATATTTTGCTTATATTATATAAAATTTCTTATCATGAAATAGCCTTCAAACTTTACTTTTTATCATGGTAAAACATTATTAACAAATCTGTGTTTTAGAATTTGGCCCTATTTTATTTGTATTAATTTTTCACCATTAAAAATTATATGTTTGACATTATGCATAAACTATTCTTTTTTTCCTCTGACTTTCTAAGTTGATATCTTAAGAGTATGGTTACTAAGTTAAAATTCATGTAATATATTGTATCATTTTTACATTTTTGCTAAAGCATTGTATTAACTTATAGTTGTGTCTTTCTCTACAGATAATTCTGTTACCCTAATATTGGCAAGGAAAGTTAAATGGGCATTACCACAGAACTGTCCTTAATAGCTCGTCGTGTGTGTCACCAATTTCTATTCCATTCAGTTGTTCTTGAAATTTCTTCATTTTGTGTTGTATGCTAATTTATTCTTCAATTTATTTTTCTGCTAATTTAATCATTTCATTTGCCAATTCAATGTGAAAGCTTCAGTATATGCTAGGACTTGTGCTAGGTACCAATTATATTTAGGTGATTCAGTTTTGGTCTTTTTACTTAATGAGTACTCTTAGTGTCTTGGTGTCTAATCAGAGGTGGATACCATGACAATTCATTGTAGCACATATTTCTTTTTTTTTTTTTTTTTTTTTTTTTTTTTGTCTTTTTCGTTTTTACCAGTACCGGGGATCGAACTCACAACTGCCTGCTTGCAAGGCAGGCACTTATGCCGCTGAGCTAAATCCCCAGCCCCTGTAGCACATATTTCTTTGGACGATGTATTTCAAAACTTCCCTACATTCGTATCCCTGGTCACTGTTTTCACCAATCTTTTGTTATGCAAGCATATATATTGTCTGTTTACAGGAAAAACCTTGCCCTTACAATGAGTACCTTTCACTGTTTACCAATATGATGAGCCCCAAGCTCTGTAAAGAGCAAGATTCTTCATGTATTGTTATTTACTGCACATACTGCAACCTCATTAATATGAATTGTTTGTGCCTTCATGTGTGTGCATGAGCACAGAAAAACAATGGAATAATAAATATTTATATGAAAGGGCAGTTAAACCATGAATTAGATTTTGTTAATCTTCATTTTTCTGTTTTCTAAATGTTATATAGTACATATATGCATGATATGTAATCAAGTAAAAACAATTTCAAATCAAGCTGTTTATTCAGCTGTGACCTTTATGATGCTTTGAGTGCCTGTACCCTCCCATGTGCTTGAATGCATATGGATTAGTGAGAGTTTGTTATGCATATTTGGTGTCTGATTTTTTCATTTAAAACTTTTTTTCAGTGTCCTGTATGGAAATAAAATCACAGAACTGCCAAAAAGTTTATTTGAAGGACTATTTTCTTTACAGCTACTGTAAGTACTTAAATGTCTTGAATCTACTGAACCCCATATTGTATTTTGTTAGTTTAGGCTCTCCTGCTTCCTGGAGGTGCCAGAAAAATTTGTCCCAAAATGATATAACTTAATGAAATGGGAAAGATTAGTACTACTAACTTGATGATGGGTGTTTATTGAAGACACAACTCTTCTGGAATTTTCTCTAACCTTCTCTCTGTAGTGCCATAGTATGTGCATTTTGACTGTTCTTTCAGTTAAAGATACATAATATTCCTTTAAAAATACATCTGTTTTGACAGAACCAGTGGTTGGAAGGATATATGTTAATTGATATAATCGCCAAATTTTTCTAAAGAATTCATAGAAGCAAAATTTCTGGGATGACTTCTCCAAACAAATTCATGGTATACAGTAGATCATCCATACCATAGTCTTCAAACTAGTCTGTACCGAACTATCGATGATTTCTTTGATTTTATTTGTCCTGTTACCCATATCTTAAACTATTTTGTGCAGAATCATATGTTATAGAAATTTACAGATATACATGCATATACAAATAAAACCAAATGTTAATGGGACCATATGAATTTTACTAAATGTAATTCTTTGCACTTCCACTCACCTTCCCTGTTCTCTGTTGTCTTAATGCTACATCATTCATCAAGTATATTTTAGAATAGATCTATGAGTAATGACAAATACTGATTTAGTGAGCTAATAGCCTATTTGAGTTTTATTTTTAGCTTCTTGCAATGAATTTATCAAATACACTTCTGATTTGATAGATTCTAATCATCTAACAGATTTCTTTATATATAATTGATGTAGTGTGATTCTATATCCACATATACCTACAAGTTACCCCCCTGCCATTCATCCACATTTACCCAGAATGCTCTGTACCAAGTGGCCCTAGATGCTATCAAATGTATTAGTGTATACAAATGTATTAGTAGAATGTGGAAGTCCATATGTAGATCAATACTTACTTATAATGCCACCTTTATCATTTTCCTTCCCTACAAAAGGCGGAATTGTTTCTTTTCAGCTAGCAAAGAACTAGGGAAAGTGAAGTATCTTGCTTTTTTATCAACATAGTAATAGGGAAAAGAGGCAGATGGATGAAATAAATAAATCAGGCCATGTGAATCTAAAGTGACTACAGACTGCCTGTAACAGCATGGATTTTGGCTTCTCTGGCTCACCTTCATGTGCTTATTCATAAGTTTCTGCTATCTTTTTTTATATATATTCTTTATTCTTATTATGAAGGAATATTTTCAGCATTGGGCCACGTGTATTGTGGCCCAGGTAGAAAGTTTGTGGCCCTAGCAAAAAGGAGAATCACAAGAAAGCTATAATTTTCATGCTTGTGGCATACCTAGAAAAACAAGCAAATGAAGTGAAAATAGTCAACTAAAGATGCAAATTGTTGTTTTTGAGGAATTACTGTTGTTGCTCTTGTTGCCAAAAGAGAGAACATTTTCAGTATGTTAAACAGTGAAGCCTACCTAAACCATATAGTGCATATTATAGAGGTTAAATTTCTGTTAAACTTCTAAGTATCAAGTCAAAGGAAATACATGTTAAGAGAACAGTGTAAAATGTGTGTCCTGATTGTAGAAGGTTAAACTGTTTTGGAGTCAATAAGTGGATCAACATGAAACAGGTACCAAAGGTACACGGCACTGAGTATGTGTTTAGAAAAGAACCTAGAGGAAGAGATACTTTAGTTAGAGCAAAGGTATGATCTGGAAAAAGTTGCAAGTATATTCTTAAAGGGGAAGAAAAGCCAACATAACTCACAAAAACATTTCCCAAAGTATGATCCAAGCCACAGTTCCATGGCCTATTGGCATATTGACAAAAAGTAGTGTATAGAATACTGATTTAAATCTGAATTTATAATGCTTTTAATGCAGTAATTTATGTCACTTTCCTGGGGGTTCACAAAGAGTTCATGGAATAGCAAATATTTATGGAGCATCTAATATGTGTAGTGTATTAAGATATCTGAGCAATTTCAGAGAGCAAAGTAGACAAAGTTCTTTGCCATCCTCGGAAGAGAGTATATGTAAGTGTCAGCCAGTAATGACATAATAAATAAGTGAATTATATATACCAAAAAATCGTTTAAAAATAGAAAAAAGCAGATTAAATTAAGGGAATTTGTAATTCTGGATGCTGGAAGGGGAAAAAGACACCACATGTGTGAGATGGTCAGTGGTCAGTCTAGGCTGAAAGAAGGGCAGTTGAGGTCGGAAGCAGTGGGATGAACCAGCCAGGACTGAGGGTGATCTGATCATGCCAAGTAGAGGACCAGAGAGTCTGGTGTTGTGTTGGAAAAGCAAGTAGATCAGTGCAAGTCACACACAACTGCCAGAGAGGATTGTTATAGGCGTTGGCTTCTATACTCAGCCAGTGGGGAGCTGCTATATGGGCCTAAGAGACAGGTGATGTACTTAGATGTATGGATTGGTCATTCTAGCTACTATTTTAAAAATAGACTGAACTTTGTCAAAGAGCAACATGAGGGACTAATAGCTAGCGTTTTTATGGTGTCCTTGAAGACATAGGCTCAGCCTTAGGGAGCTTCAAGTGTTTTTCTAGGTCTACCCCATCCTGAGTATACGTTTAGTACTTAGTTGAATTCATGTCTAAGTACCACTGGCTTTAGTTTAGCTTCACCTGACACATGCATGACCGTTGCTTTCTCCTAACGCTGCAAATCTATAACCTGTAAAACCTACACTATTACTAAAGTTAAAATGCTAGTGTTATAGTTAAGTGCCATGCATTTCTTCATTGGGTTTTCTCAAGAAAGACAAAAGCATGCAGGTGAGTTAATGGGATGCTACACTTTAATTTTGCAACCCCATTTGATCAAACAGATTATTGAATGCCAACAAGATAAACTGCCTTCGGGTAGATGCTTTTCAGGATCTCCACAACTTGAACCTTCTCTCCTTGTATGACAACAAGCTTCAGACCATTGCCAAGGGGACCTTCTCACCTCTCCGTGCCATTCAAACTATGTATGTATACACATTTTGGATCTAATTTGATTAGTAATGTTTGTTTGTTTTCCTGAATGTGAGAGTTGAGCCCAAGGCAATCATGTATAAAACTCTTCTGTTTTTCTGAAAGGCATCTGGCCCAGAACCCATTTATCTGTGACTGCCACCTTAAGTGGCTGGCGGATTATCTCCATACCAACCCAATCGAGACCAGCGGTGCCCGTTGTACCAGCCCTCGCCGCCTGGCAAACAAAAGAATTGGGCAGATCAAAAGCAAGAAGTTCCGTTGTTCAGGTAACTTGTTATTTCCTGAGACATTTTCCTTGTGACAAAAACAACATTGGTCATGTGAGACTTATCCAGAAGCCTAGGAGTGACTCCCAAACATTGTAGAATCAGATTTCTTTCTCTTTCACATATACAGGAAACAAATATAAAAACAAGACTTTAGCCACGACTCATATAGTCCTTCTGTGTGTAACATTTTTAACACTATATTCCACAGAAGAAGTAGGATATTGGCGAAGTGAAAAAGATGCCTGGCTTTTTTGCACTATTTTGATAAGGTTTAAACCTAACATAGGCCTTGTAGCCAACTCGAAATGCTTTTATAATATGTGAAGATCCATGTTTGTTATGTTGTTCGCTATTAGCCAGTGAAGTACAATTCAAATAATCAACCATATTTTCATTTCTTCAGAAAGTGAGTGGAAAGTTGTTTACATGGTTTGATCAGGCTTCAAAGTGGGAGGGAAAAAATTTCTCCTGTCCATTTCCTCCCACTGAATGCACTTTGTTAATTTGCATTCTCTTAGTTTGAAGAGATATCTGAGGATTCACTTTTTTCCAAAGACCAACTTTTCACATGTTGATAACATTGCATTTGTCTTAAAAAGCTAAATATACATACATTGTATTATTAAAAATAAAATAAACTTACTGTGTTGAAATATAGTTCTTGCTTTGTTGTAATTTTTCTTTATTCTAGTGATAGACAGTGTTCTTTGTATTTCTGGTAATAAGCCACCTAACTATTCCAGGCGTATTTCACATTTGGCAGTTAATTCATACTAAAGAGCTAATGCCTACAGCAGGCTACTTATTGTCCATGATTATAAGAGCATTTGTTAGTCATTGAACATTATTATCCGTCAACCGCTGCTGTGAATATACATTTTTGACTTAGTTATCAGTAGTAACTTTAGTCCATTCTTAATCTAATATAGCTCATATTTCTGCTTGCTGACATTCAGGTGCATCTTCTATTTTTTTCTCTTTTTTTATTTAGCTAAAGAACAGTATTTCATTCCAGGTAGGTTTTGCTCGTTGGTAGGACTAACCGCAAACACCCTTTCCTCACCTTTTGAATTATAGCTTCTAAAACTGATATGCATGCTCTTGAAAGTACAGTGGGTCCTCTGTAGATAGATTGACTGGTGCATAGATGACTCGCAGCTGTTTTCTGAAAACCTGACCTCTGCATGCAGCTTCTGATGTTAAACATATTTATTATTAAACTCCCACCGTCTTTTCTTGCCCTTTCACTTTGGTACATTATCTACAATTTCTCACAGTAGCTAAACTGTTTGAACCTATGGCTTTCTACTGAACTCATTTTTTCCTCCTTACATTGTATATCTTTCAGCCTGTTTTTAAAATTTAGCTTACTGAGCTAGTTTTAAAGACAGAGGCCTTTCTATTGCCAAAGAGCTAATTCTACATGAAATCAGTGTGAACACAGAAAATTGCATTTTCAGCAGGAGAATTTTGAAGCATTTTGTATTTAAAAGTGTTTGTTTTGCATTTGCTTAGTATTATCCAAAAAAAAAAAAAAAAAACACTGAGCTTCATGCTGGTTTGCATACATGTGTTCCTTATTTGTTTGTAATGGTACAGTCTTGCATAGCTAGACTTGGAATATAACACCACAAAAAGATCACTGATGTCCATCATGAAAGCATTAAGAAGTTCATAAGCCCTAAATGCCTTGAATAATTTAGGCAGATGGGTAAAATGTTTCTAAGAATAATGATTACAGTATTTTATTGCTTCGATCTTAACACTCTCAAAACTGATGATTCTAGAGCTAGCTCTTTAGAATATGTTCCTTCACTTATCTTTTTCCTTGCCTGCCAATTGTGGTAAATGCCTTTTGATTGTTTTAAGCTATAGAAAAACTATGTGTTAAATATTGATTGGCTGTATTCACCGTTTCCTGGGTATATTCAAGACTATCCTATATTTTAAGAACTGCAAAAATCATATTTCTACAATGTTTAGTGTGTAAAACCATGGGTATTTTCTTATGAAGACATTTGAGTCTGGTCTCCGTGTTAAAGAGATATTTGTTGGTTGGCATTATTGTGTTATATTCTAAATAATTTCATCCATTTAACAGATTTTGTCATATTACTCATTCTGTGGAATGTGAATGATTAAATATTTTACATATTTTATTTTCCAGTAAAACAAGCAACATATTGAAAAGAAATTGTTTTGCCTTTATTGGCGATATTTAAACTTTATGGTCCTTTACCAATTATTAAGTAGAAAGTTACCTAACAGCTATTATTCAACTAAAAAATGCTACATTCTAAACACCAGATGACCCATAGAATAATACATCAGTATGATTTAAATCCTAAAATTATAATGATTAGTATAGTTGCTGGAAAATTATTCAAATTATTCTGTTTAAATATACCTTATCAAATATTTAGAAACCAGTATTTCTAATTCATCACGTACTGAGCAAAACTTAGGCTTTTTAAAAATATTCTAATATGACTTTGCCCTCTTACTAGCTGATAGGTGGCAAAACTAGATACTGACAAACACACTTCCTATCTGATACTAGTTATTAACTTTCAAATCCTATAATTTAATTTACATTATTAAAACTAATAATAAACGGCAGAACACAATAGAATTGTTTGGGCCTCACTCATCCTATTATTTTCAAATTTTTAATTAAAATTTAAATCTATCACATGAATTATCATAAATCACCATTATTTTCATAGTATTGGAGTACAGATTATCTGAATATATTCAGTGATCATCTCACTTAAAACTTCATTACCATCGTACCCTTATTTCACTGTAGACTAAGCTGAAGGCACAATAAAACAGATCCTTAATAATTGTAATAACTTTAATTGCCAAACATAATCTAACAGTTGTGTTTGGCATTGCAAACTTCTAATGAGATTCTTATCTTATTCTCTGTAAATTGTTTGTAAATTGGAAAGGTCATTCAAAAACATGGTAAACTACAGCCTCAAGATTAATCAAATGTTCCAAGGATAATCCTTGAGGTCCTTCATGATTGATTTTTACTTACTTTTCCCTGTGTGCTTGCCTGTTACCATTCTATGTGGCATTCCAGATATTATCGCTATAACTCAAAAGGAAAATGTGACTTGAAGAGAGTACATTTTTTAAAAGAAATTGACAAGAAGTTAATTGTACTATGCATCTTTTATGTCATTGCACTTCCTTCAGAGCTATCATGCTTCAAAAAGTTATTCAGAATTTTACAAAGCATGACAAATCCCATCAGGCCATGCTGTTCCCCTACGATTGCCATGATAAAGGAGAGAGACAGCATAGTTGGATATGTGTATGTATGTCTATTAACCTTAATTGGGATTACTCTTTCTTTCTTTCCTTCTTGGTGATCTTTACTTTTGCAGGAATTCACCATTTGGGCTGTAAGTAAAAGTGTCTGATCTAAAATATAATGTCCTCCCTTTTCAATCCTGATGCACCTGCTAGTCTTGGTCTTTTGCACCCATTTTTCAAGAAGAAACCACAGATCTTTTGAGCTTCTCTGTTGTCCTTGTAGCTCACCCTCAACTTCTCCCTGGATGTCCTTCTTGAAGGCTGTGGTTTCCACTCTGCAGTTCTGAGGCGTGGTGGAGGCACTTGCAGCATAGCCCCCTTTTTGTGTTTCCAGGAAATCCTCGGTAGTAATACACTTACTATGGTCATAAACCTTCCGCAGGAAGAATGCATGTCACGTAAACAGTGTTACATTTCCAGAACGTCTGTAGCTCTTCTCCTGCTTCCCTTCATCTTTCCTCTTGGTCTTCCCTTTGGCCTAGTGGTTGGTGTAGTGATAATGTAGCGAGATTTTCTGTTGTGCTTGATCTAACCATGTGGTTGCGAGGTATGAGTAAAACATGGTTCCGTCAAGCACCATGGAACGTCACGCAGCTTTCTACAGCATGACAAGCTGCTGAGGCTCAAGTCAGGATTTACTTGTCTCTTTCCATAAAATCAAAATAAAAAAGAGGGCTTTTTTAGGCAATTCTGAAGATTATGTGAGAGGGAGAGAATAATACAGAGTCCACAGAAAATTTAAAAACCTGAGTATATCTATTTGCCTCGAAAGCCCTAATTTATAATGATACACAGGAATATGGTTATGACTGGATACATTTTCAATTCTTGACCCAGAAAAAAAAATAAAACTTTTTAAGAATTAATAGTCATTGTGTGATTAGCTGTGCAACAGGCTAGAATGGCTCAGAACTGGATCAGCAGAAAGTACAGCTGTGAAAAGCTCAACATTTTTAATGTTTTCCTGTTGTGTGAATCTGGTCACTCTTTTTTTCCAGAAAATTCCAAGCCTTTCTTTCAACCTTCTCTTGACATCCTTTGACCAAAATTGCCTAAGTTGTCTCCCTGCTGCATAATCTATAGTTATCTTACTTTTTTTTCCTTCCTGCAAATTAATGAATATTCTAATCTTTAGACTCAGCATCTTTTTCTTTGGCTTGAATTCTCAATAGGTACAGAAGATTATCGATCAAAATTAAGCGGAGACTGCTTCGCAGATTTGGCTTGCCCTGAGAAGTGCCGCTGTGAGGGGACCACCGTAGACTGCTCCAATCAAAAGCTGAACAAAATCCCTGATCATATTCCCCAGTACACTGCAGAGCTGTGAGTTCATCCTGTCTCAGAATCGTGAAGAGGAAGGAGGGAGGGAAAGCTTTGATGCATGCAAAATTGTGTCTTGCCATTATTATTCTCAATAATCATTAATTTCAACTAAAGCGTATTGCATTGATGTACTTCTTCTTTGTACAAGACTTATTAGAGGGTACCTTAGTTCCATCTTCCCAGCTGAAGATACAATTAAAAATTAATTTAGCTCTCAGAATTCACTTGGCACTTAAGAATGCTAACAATAATAGTGATTATTTGGTTCATATTTACTATGTACTTTCTCAAAATTCATTTCTAAGCACTTAATAGATTTTTTTAAGTATTTAATACTTAACAACAACCAAATAAAGTAGTTTGAAATTCACCATTTTGAAACCCAGTTAATTATAAATCTAGTTAGGAGTCTTTTTTTTTTAATCAACTTTATTCCTTCCTTGACTCACAGGTAGAAGAATTTAGTGATTGTCAGGTATGAAAATGTTAAGAGTAGTTATTTTTTTCTGGACAATGGATATCACAGTAGGGAAAGCCAAAGGCAGAAACTGGTCAGATTCAGACTGAAAGCCTAACATAGAACTTAAGCACTAAAACTTTTTGTAGATTCTGTGCTCATATATGGTTTGCCTTTATTGTCTTATTACTAAAAGTCTTTATTTATGAACACAAAACTTTTAGTGCTAATATTCTAAAAATACTAGGGAAATCTTGTGCCATCTCGTTTTGTGTAAGCATTCACAGTACTTATGTATGGCACCATCTGCTAATTGTCATTTACTGCTTTGCAAAGTTGCTTGTCTCTGTTTCTCTCTGTTTAATCCTTCTGCCTTCAACTAGATTATAGCTCCTTGAATATAGCAGGGAATGTGTGTTACATTTTATCTCCCACTGTGCCTATACACATGTCTGTTACTTAATGAATTTTAAGCAAGTTGATTAATTAAAACTAAAGTTATGCCTTTCAAAGCTTAGGCAGAAACTAGCTCCTTTGTGGTTATGGTGGTTGTTTTTCTATGATAGTTCATGAAGCTATTTAATAACTACAGCACTGTTAGAAATGCATGCAGATCACACAGCAAAAGCCCTGAACTGTTTTATAGCAATAGGTATTTATATTTATTTCTAATAATGCTGCAAAGAACAAGTGACCTCTCTCAGCATCATAAAAGTCTTAAATAAGTTTTTTTTCAATCAAGAATTATAGTTGAAACTAATTTCTAATGTAGATCTCAGTGAAATGTTTGGTATGTCTTTTTAAAACTAATATTCTATTAATTATGAATATGCAATCAATACTCAGAAGGAACTATTTACAAAGAATGCATGAAATAGAAATTTAAATCTAAAATATGTGAGAAACTGACAATTTCAAAATAAAAAGATATATTACTTAAATTATCTCTGTTATACATGCTTCTTCAAAAATATACAAATGGCTATTAACCACATGAAAATTTCCTTTGATATAGTCATTAGAAAAATGAAATTTCTATAATGAGATACTATGATACACACAATGAAATACCTATAAAATAAAAAGGTATAACAACTAGTGGGGGAAATTGGAATACTCATACATTGATGATATGAATGTAAAATGGGATAGCCTTTTTGGGAAACAGTTTGTATATCCTTCCAAGAGCTAAACAAAAGTTTGCCATGTGATACTACTACTCTCATAAGTATACATTCAAAAGAAGGGGTATCCAGACAAAAACCTTTATATTAATGTCCATAGCAGAATTTTTTACAATAGTTACAAAGTAAAACAAAGATGTCCACAAACTGCTAAAAGGGTAAATAAATTTGATTTTTCTATACAATTCTTTAACTATAAAAGTAGCCAAGCACTGATATATTCTACAACATTAATAAACACTAGAAACATCATACAAAGTAAAAACCGGTAAATACACAAAGCCACATTCTAAATGATTCCCTTTATATGAAGTGCCCAGGGTTGGAAAAACAATGAGTACATTAACTACCAAAGTCAGAGTACGTTTTCAGGGTGGCGTGGAGTTGGGGGCGGGGGGTGTCCAGGGAAGTAGCTGCTTGATGATTATGATTTTTTTTGAGGTTAATGAAAATATTCTGAAACGAGATAGCAGAGGTGGCCCCACAAATTAGTCAATACACTAACATCCTCTAAACTGTACACTTCACAGGGGTGAACTTTATGGCATGTGAGTTGTATCTTAAATATCTGCAAATAAAAAAAGGAGCAAGTAATTTGAAAAAAAAGGATTAAAAACATTTCTTATATGAGAGATAATGAAAAAAAGTCCGGACATTATTCTAGAGATGACTGAATGAGAGAGAGCTGGTTTTCATTATTAGTATTCCTTACTGTGTGGTTCTTACAATGTTTTATTTTATAATTAAAATTGGAGAGAATTGCAGAAAAATACCAGTGCTGTCTATAAATCCTCCGATACTTGTACTATATTTTATTTTAGAATTATCATTAAATAATGTTACAATTCCGTATGTTAAATGGACTGGAATCCCTTTGTAACTCTTAGTGAAACTCCCTGTTCTTTCTTTTTTCTCTAGGCGTCTCAATAATAATGAATTTACAGTGCTGGAAGCCACAGGAATCTTTAAGAAACTTCCTCAATTACGTAAGATGTAAGTCATTTGTCAGTGGTCTTTTAAATTCCCCTAGTGTTTTGTTGTTTATTTTTTCCCCATCCCTTTAAAGTTTTATCTAAGTTTGTTTTGGAAGCTGGAATACAAAAAAGACCAAAAAAAACAAAAACAGAGAAATTTCCATCCCATGACCACTCATGATATGAATATAGAGTAATCTCTGAAAGGAACGTTTCCATGTGTCCAGAAAATGCCACCAAAGCCTTCGCATCTTAAGGAAGACAGCTGGTCTGTGATGTGGCCGCAGCAGGAATCCAGCAATCCAACACATTAAAATGGTGTCAGCAGTGTCCTTTACTATTCCCCAAACCATGCCGTTATTTCTCTTTCAGCACATTCATGTCAACTGCTGGACTTTGTGCTCCATTAAACTTTCATTAGAAGATAGTCAGAATTAATGACTGGTAAACTGGCTTCATGGCTCTTTGGTGTTCACAATTCATATTTTAAGATAAGCTCTAAAACTGAGCAGTTTCAGGCTGCTTTGTCTTCTGCACCCCTGAGAACGAATGAGGGGTGACAGTAGAGAAGGGCATGCGTGTAAGGACAAGGAAGCCCCTCCACAGAAGGGGAAGAATGAGGAGAGAAGCTTTCTCCTGTGGTATCTGTGTGCTCACACACTAAACTGGCCGTGCTCTCTCAGACTCCTAAGAGGCGCAGTAGATCGAATCTGCCTCTACACTTCATAATATGCTACCGCTGAATGTTCTCATTGATTAACCTCCCTTTTCACCGATTGCTAAATGTGCTTTCTTTTTAGCTTTAAAACAACTTTTAATGCAGCAAATACTTATCGAACAGCCACTTGAGCTATGTTTTGAGAGGCATAGAAAATACATAAAATTTATCTTGTTTACAGGGCACTTAAGGCCTTGGAATGAAGAGTGTAAAAGCAAAATGAGAGCCTGTGTTGGACAAGAGCCTATACCTGCCCTCTGGGCGAGTATTGTAGTACTGGGCAGGAATTGTAATACTTTATTTTATATAAAATATTCAGAGTTAAATTGATGGTCTCAATGTGGTATTACTCAAGAAGTTTAACTGGGTATAAGTCTACATTGGAACACATCTCTAATGGCATCTAAACACTAGCACAGTTTGGTCTGTTCTTTCTATTAGATTGCCTCTTTTAGCCATTAATTTATTCAACAGTTTTAACTGGGGACATTTCTATGAAAATTTCTTTATGCAGTTTTACAGAGGACATAAAGTTCCATGCAACTCCTTACCTGGCCCCAAGTATGATATGCCCCTTGGAACGTTTACAGGTCATCTTGGCAGTGGTCAGTCTGGTATTTCTCACCACACTGTCCCATTAGTTAATGTCCCATTAGTTTCATAGAACAGGAAAGGGGCTGGGCTGCACAGCAATAAACTAGGAGATTGTAGAAGACTTTGTTCATAGAAGAAAATTATCAAGGCCTTTGTTTTACTGCCCGTTTTTAGAGAAAGGTATTGTTTATAACCTTTGTTTCAACCACTTTTATTTAGCAATTTTAGCAACAATAAGATTACAGATATTGAAGAGGGAGCCTTCGAAGGAGCATCCGGAGTGAATGAAATACTTCTTACCAGTAACCGCTTGGAAAATGTTCAGCATAAGATGTTCAAGGGTTTGGAAAGCCTCAAAACTCTGTGAGTATTGTGATTTACATTTTATTCTACCAGCAGGTTGGAAGACACTGGTCATTACAACCCTGGGAAGATGTGACCGTCTACTGTTCTGCCCATTCCTTCTTCCCATCTCTGTCTCTTTTCTTCTTTCCACACTCTCTTAGGTACACAGACATACACACACACACACACAGACACACACGCACACACACACACACCCTTTTTGGGAAGGCAAAGCCCCTTATTCCTATGCTGCCATGGGTTGCTCAGAAAGCCCTTCCTGACTACTGTCTGCTCCTCAACAGCACCCATCCTCACAGGGCTTTGCGTCTGGTGCTCCTGTGGAATTAATGAGAGAATGCACATCAGGTGTCATATGTCTCTTCTTCTTCTAAGATAAGAAGCATTATCAGAATGGACCCCATACTTAGGAACTCGGTTAGCATTAATTATCTTCCTAATGTTCTCCCAAGTACTCTAGGGATTGAAGGCTTCAAGGCATGCCTTTGGGGGAAGGAAATGTAGTACACAACATGACCCCAAAGAATTTGCCAGAATATTTCTTCTGACTAGTTACACTCACAAAACATTTCCTGAGGGGGCTTGTCAGGATCCAGCTCTCCACTGTCGTTTTATTTTTGTTGATGATTTTGTGCTGCTTATCATCTAGTGGCTGGGACAGGATGCTCTGGCTCACTTCTTGATGCACTTTTTTGCACAACTGGAAAAATAGAGCAGCTTAGAGCCAAACTTGGGGAATTCCAAGTTCTAGAGGAGGGTTTTCTAGAACTATCTGTTTTTCCCCATGATGTCATCCCACGCCCAGCTTTAAACATTTTGACAGCATTAATTAATTTCCTCGGCTTTCTTAACATTTTTGGAATGGAGACCACTGCCTAGCCCACGTACATATTTCAGCCAGTCTCAGAAGTCCATGACATTGTAGACAAAATAGGATGCATGCGTGTGGAGATGGGTTTTTCCATCAGCAGAGGGTGTGACCATCTGCAGCTTCTCACAGGGGTCCATCACTCCAACAAGATCAAGACCAAGTGCTGTCTATTTTTTATAAAAATTAAAATCCTAGTACGGATACTTTTCAGTTGTGCCTGTTTCTTAACACAAAATGATGCCTTACGAAGGAAGTCACATCCTTACCTTTGACTTAGCCGGATACAAAAGTTCATATTTCTTTCTTATTACAGCGAGTTCTAGAATTTTAAAGCAGCACTGTTTTCCACTTATTTTTGGTTCTTTTTCTCATAGTATACTGACTTCTGCTCTGCAGACTGCTAAGCCATCAATTCTTCTTTATAAAAAGTAATGCATTAACTTATCTGGATGTATGAATAAGGTTTAAAGAAACTACATTTTGTCTGGGAGTCTAGACGTATTTTTGCTTCTTTCTGAAGCCGCACGTACAAACAGTTCAAGAAAGAATTGTGAACTGGACCATTGCTTTACTACTAAAGATGAGGAAATGACAACAGTGTTAATCCAATTAGTAGCAACATGTAAAAGGAGTTTCCACAAGCAAAGCTATTTAAACTTTGTGTATACAATTGAAATCTATTACTCTTGCCTCTTTGGGGGCTTCCAAACTTAAAAACAATGAATAAACTTTCACATTTAAAATGATTTGTGCAGGCTTTGTGGATACTCAGTCATGTTTGTTCCCTGGAACCTTGTTTGCTATTGTCAGTCTCGTAAGTCCCTGAGATGCCCTCAGCTCTTCCTCTGCAGCAGCTATTGATTCTTTTCTCTCTCCTTTCTGTTCAACCTCAAATGTCATACGATCCTGAATAAACAAATCACAGTGCTCCAAGGACTCACAGTACTGGAGGTGAATTAGACAGGGCATTATGCAACCATGCAAACACAATTACAGCAACAGAAAAAATAAAATATTTTTCCCTCATCTGGGGTTGTAAATCCAGGAAGGCTCACCTAGTGCCTTCTGCAATTGACTTTCACCACTGATGACTCTGAGCATTTCTTTCTCACAAGATATTGTCAGTGCATAGCAATTTCTAATGGCAGAAGAACATTCAAGAACAGGAATCAAGTCTACATACTTGAAAAGGATTATTTGCTTTCCACATAGACAGTATTGATTGCCTGATGCTTTATTTCCATAACAATGCCTTCTTTTTCTTCCTCAGGATGTTGCGAAGTAATCGAATAAGCTGTGTAGGGAATGACAGTTTCATAGGACTCAGTTCTGTGCGCTTGCTTTCTCTATATGATAATCAGATTACTACGATTGCACCAGGGGCATTTGATACTCTCCATTCTTTATCTACTCTGTAAGTATGAAAACATAGTCTTTGCTTGTATATGACTTGAACCAGTACATTATATTTCTTATTGTTAATAATAGTTTTTTAATGTATTACTAGATATTTCATAAAAATGTTATTGGTCAGGTATTTTTTAAATGATAGATTTATTCATGCTAAATTTGTTTGAATTTTCCTAAAAACGTTACCTACAATCTTAAATTTTAAATAAAAGTTTACCATTTTATCAACCAATTCTTATTTATTGGAGTGGTCTCAATGCTGTAGTTTAATTTCTAAATTTTATAATCATGTATTGTAACTTGAAAGCCCTAGAAAGAATTAAAATGTTTTATTTTTCCCACTATTTTCACATTGAATTATTTTAGTATAAATAATCATAAAATCAACTGACAGTGTTATTGTCAACAAACTGTGCTCAAAAGTATCATTCACAATGACAAAAGATACATTAATATGATGACCAGGCCAACAATGAAAGATGTTTTCAAGAGGTCCTTTACTGTGGTATTAGGAAAATACTGGAGCAATAGATAGAGCCCATCAAAGAAAATATTATACATAAATGGCCTAAGAATGTTTGTTGATCTAAACACATTACTCAGAAAATGTCAATGCACACACATATCTAAACAGTGTATTTCAGACCTTTTGTACGTCAGTTTCTGAAGAGCAGCGCTTGGAATTATGAAACTGATGATTTCCTGGCCACAAGTGGCATCCAGATAGACCAGTCTAAAACAGCATGAGGGGACTAAAAGCAGAAAGAATAAATTCATGCTTAGCATAGCTCAGGTCAGTGAAGAAATAATTTGAGGGAAGCATCCATCCATCAGGAAAGCACTTAATCCTTTTTCCACATAAATTGTGACATTTTACATAGAGTGACTAATTTGTGCATATTAAAGGTGGCATGTTTATAAATAATGAGATTGTCAATAGGTTTGTGCTGAAGTGGTGAGATGCCAAAAGTATTGTGATTTGTAGAAGTAAATTCATTTTTATAACTGGCATTTAATCAACTCAGCTGTCAGTTTAGATAGGAAACCTATTCTCCGGAGCAAATAAGAGATGGGAATCTTGAGATGACAAATTAATGAAATAGCTGTTGTCAGGTTAAACTCAATAATATAAGGTAATCAGCTTTCATCGTAATATTAAATTACTGCATTATCAGCATGGAGAAGTTTGACAGTAAGTCAGATTTCTGACAAGTTTAAATTATTTCTAAATGAGATATCCATCATGATCCACAGCATAAACTCTAAATTGCTGCCTCACTTGATTTTTTTGCATGAAATTATTTGAAAAATTATCTTACATGAAAGTATCGTTATTAATTTATAGCCATAAATACTTAGCAAAAGCATGCATAGCATATGTTTCATGTGACTGAGTGTGAATTGGAGGATTAGAATAAGACTAAAAGTGAATTTTCCCAGCAGAAATGGTGTGGAAAAGTGGTAGCATGGGGTTTTGAGCAGTAAGAAAATGAAGCTCTGAATTAAACCGTGCATTGTTTGCCTGTGGTACTTAGAAACCTCTTGGCCAATCCTTTTAATTGTAACTGCTACCTGGCATGGTTGGGAGAGTGGCTCAGGAAGAAAAGAATAGTAACAGGAAATCCGCGGTGTCAGAAACCATACTTCCTCAAAGAAATCCCCATCCAGGATGTGGCCATTCAGGACTTCACTTGTGATGACGGTAAGAGCAGCACGTCTCTCCTTCACTACCTGGCATTCACGTGGCATTCCTGATTGCTCCTCTGTGCGTGGATGTGGCAGGTCCTAGCTCAGTTCAGCACATCATGCCTGGCTGTCTGTCTTTTGCTTTGCTTTGTTGTTGGTTTTGTTTTCTCATCCAGGCACCTATTTTCTCTGTCTCGTCTTTTACATTTCCAATCTAATTGATAATGGTTTTTTTTTTTTTTTCAGTATTTTACAAAATTTTCTACTTTCCACTTTGTGGTGGGAGCTGTTTATACAGCTTCTTTTTTTAACATTTCTTGAATATTCTCAGCATCTCTTGTAGGAACTATTCTTTTCCAATGAAAAAGACACTTGATTTATAAAAATAGAAAGTCTAGTAGATCTGACGAAAGTGATACCTTTTCACTTTTTTTTTTTTTTTTTTTTTTTTTGTATTTTTACCGGTACCAGGGATCGAACTCACGACCACAGGCTTGCAGGGCAGGTGCTTATGCCGCTGAGCTAAATCCCCAGCCCCTCTTTTCACATTTTAATGTTCTATTTCCCCGTCATCGCATTTGATTCTCATGATAGCCCTGTAAGGTAGGGAGAGCAGGTTCTATAATTATTGCCAGTGAACAGAGAGCTCTGTATTTTAATATAAGGAATGCATGTAATATTCACTTACCACTGAGGTTAATCTGACCCTATGCCTTTGTGTCTGTCTCCTTCTAACTTTCTGTCATTTACTTTGTATTTATATATCATAACTAAAAATATACCGAACAAATAAATCATATAATTATATTGGTAAGACAAATTGTTGATGATTTCTTAAATTGTGACCTAGACATGTTGAAAATAGTGGTATTAAGGAATGCATGCATATATGTATTATATATTATGTATATTACTTTATGCATAAGTGTTCATCACATGGCTTGGCATTCTTTATGTATTTATTTGTTTATTTTACATATGCTCCTTTATCTAATGACACAAAATTCTTCTTGCCCTCCAAAGCTCCCCACAAATCTTGAGTTTTTCTGTATTTCTGCCGACAATTTAGGAAATGACGACAATAGTTGCTCTCCACACTCTCGCTGTCCTGCAGAATGTACTTGTTTGGACACGGTAGTCCGATGTAGCAACAAAGGCTTGAGGGTCCTGCCGAAAGGTATTCCAAGAGATGTCACAGAGCTGTAAGTAGAGCTTCCCTTTCCCTTTCATGACAATTATTGCTTTACATATCAAGGGGAACAGAGATCAGATGAAACTGTTTAGAATCCTGCTGATAAATGACATTCTACAAATACTTAACAGTTATTGTGCAAAATCATAAGCCAGTGATTTCAAAGACCAGTTCAGAGACCTTTGGGAATTTTAGGGTAGGTATATTTTTGTTTTTACAACGTAGGAATTCCCACTTTGTTTTTACATCGAGGCATCCATAAAACTCCAAGCAAGGATAGTAGAATCTTCGGTAGCTCCTGTACCTACTTGCCACTATAACCCTACTTTTGTGGACCGTTTTACAAGACTAATGTTCCAGTGAGTTCACTTTGGGAAATTCCTTATATTTGATTTATTCATATTTAATTTAGTAACCATGCCAGATGGTTAATTCTTGCTTACTGTGATCACCCCTGACAAACTATTTGTCTGGAATGTGAAGAAACTGGCATAACTGTTTCCCTTAAAAAGAGATACTATTCGTAAAAACTATTTTATTCATAGATAGAAAGAAAGAAAAAAAGCTATAATAGAATTTTAAAGTTTGAGATACTATATTAAAACTGGAATAAACTCCTTTCAATCCTGGAAGGTAGGAGGCAAATTATCTCTGACATTTTTGTATCTTATATGCAAATTACATGGCCGGTACGCCCATATCTGTCTAGCCCTTTGGACACGGGACCTTCAGCTCACACTACTCTGGCTGCAAACATAGTGCATATACAGAATGAATTCACCAGAGAATAAACCCGTAATAATAATGCACACATACCCTTCATCTCATACTTTCATACATGTACAGAATTTGATGTGCAAATGCTTGAAAAGCGTCCAATTTAGTCATTTTGCTTTTGTTTACTTTTTGTTTCTGTTTGTGCAGAACCATGGGTCGATACTGACTTAAATCTACATTTAATTCATACAGATGTGTACTTGTAACTCATTCAGAGGCATGCAAGTCTTCCAAATGAGCAACATTGATAAAATGTTAGCAGTGTGCAGCTTCCAATGAGGAAGATAGAGCTTAAGTTTTCAAGGAATTTAGTTTTCAAATCACAAGGAGTTCACAGCTCCTGCTTTGCTTCGGAATAGCTCTCTTAGGGAAGCAAGCGTAATCTTAGCACATGTGCACAGAGCTGCCCTCTTAGATTTGAGCTTCCATCGAGTGTTGGGTTTCTCTCACTGCCAGTCACAGTAGTTAATGAACGTAAGCGCTGCTATGTGGCTGTGTGATTAAACGCTTAGATTTTATTTTAGTATGTTTTATTTCAAGAGATCTCATAGGCCCTCGTCTCGCACTGTCAGAAGCCTAGATGGCTGTGGATTCTATATTCAAAGTCTTGATTGTAGAAATGGCCCAGCGAGGAGCATAAAATTCAGATTGCTGTAGATATTTCAATCCCTCTTTCTACTACTTTAACTGGCCTATGTCTTGTTATTTTTGTTCATGCCCCATAGAATTATTTTAAAGATTGTTTAATTTCACTATTAAATGCCGGTGAAGAAGCTGCTTGGCTCACCTTTTTATGCCATCTATTTCTTCTGTTAGTTGACTCCTCCGCCAGTTGTCCTATACTTACTGAAAAGTAACTTTTTTCCCTCTGAAGAGAGATTGCTATAGAGATGAACAGGATATGAACTCATCTCTGAGAATTCAAGTTTAACAAAGCTAATTCTTAGAACTTTCCTAAGTCAGCACTATTTTTGTGACCAATAACACATATGGGTGCATTAGAAAATTTCACTATGTGCATTATACTGATTAAGGAATTTGGCAAAATACATATTGCTGGACACGTTTGAGTAAGTGGTACTCATTAGTTTTAATCAGTTCCATATAACCTTCCTTGTGGGTTGTTTTACATGTAAATACTCATAGTGTACTTTCTGAATCTTTGTGTCCTGCTGTAACATTTTCTGTGATAAAACAAGAACGCTAACAAGTGTAGGCTGGTGCTTCCCTCTAGTGGTACCAAGAAAAATTTAGCTAGAAGAAAAAAATAAGTCAAAAGATGAAGTCAGAAAATTGAATCACACTATTGATTGCATATTTTGGAGACTTGGGCCTTCCCTTTTACATCTGTATTCATTTTGAAACATTAAAAAATCTTAAGCAACTTCTTAAGTTGCTTAAGTTGCTTCTTAAGTTGATGTCCAGTCAAAGTACTGGTTTCGTCAGAAAAATCTCAAGATTATCCATTCCGTTGAGCTAAAAGAGACTGCCTTTCTGATGTTACAGAATTGCTTGCAGGCATATTTATATCCAAATAGCCCAAGGTGCTAGAAGACACTTGTTCACTTTACAGTTTGCATTCTGGGAAATCTGTGGGAGGAGATGAAATTTCCTTTTCTGTTTGTGACATCATGAATAGAACTTCCAACATTTATTGTAGAGTCTTGATGATTAGCTAAAAACTTATTTCTGATTATTATTCTGACTAAAGAAAAAGTTTAATTGAATGCAAATACACATGCATGCTAAATTTGAGAAGATGATAAGTTTCATGGCATTCCATGAACCTGCTTAAAATTGTTAGCTCCCAGATGGTACATGGTAGCAAAACTGTCATTAAAGTATTTTTAATTCCAATTATGTTAAAATTCCAAAGTATCTTGCTAAAATGTTTATTGTTACTCAGTATATTGATACATACTCAGGCAGAGTTTCTTGACTGTAAAACCCAGGTTTTATTACTAGTTGGTGAATTTCATTGTCTCCACAAAAACATAAGTAAACTGGAAGCCAGTTTAAAATAAGCTCATTAAACAAACTTTGCTGACGTAAGCATGATTGGATCTTGCCTTGCCATAATAACCACAAGCAACTGAACTCAACAGTCTTTATTTATTTATTTTTTGAGTTAGCATAACAACCTACAAAAAATTGTACTGGATTAGACCACTATGTTCTTTCTTGGTATTCTTTTAAATAAAGATTCCAGCTTGAAGGATGATATCCTAAAAAACAAAACAAACCCTCCCAATTGATCCCTCATTTCAGTAAAAAGTTAAATAGTATGCATGTATATAGGATTCTCTATTCTTACATGATGAAAATGTAATATTGTTTACTTATTTTTAGGTATTTGGATGGCAACCAGTTTACACTGGTTCCTAAAGAGCTATCTAACTACAAGCATTTAACACTCATGTGAGTAGTATATTTTTGTACCGTTAACTTATTTGGTCTCATAAAAAGCAGGAAGCAAGGGCCAGAAGATTTAGAGAGCCTTTCAGATGATGTAAATCATCATGTACAGTGAGATGATTCCCTCTGTGATCAGCATGGCTGCGGCTCACTGGCCATGTCTTCATCCGCTGTCAGTCAGGTGGAAGAATGTCTTAGGAAAGATCCCCTTTACTCAGCAAAAGACAAGTAACGTGAAATCTACCCGGTCAAAAATTATGGAGACAGCAAAACTTAGTATGTCTACTAAGAAAATAATCCACTTCATCCTAGACTGAGGAAAGAAAGATAGAAAATAGTATCTACGCTTGATTTTAGGCAAGATGGTTTATAGCAGACCTTTACTGAGAATACATTTAGTATATTAAGTTTCTAAGGTAAAGCACTGTGAAGTAATTCATGGCTATAACTATTAAAATTTATTTCACAGAATCCATATATATTTATACTGTATTTAAATAAACTAAACAAAGATGCTGACATTGTGATAGCAATTTCAAAATATGTAATTCTTTAAAGTTCAGCCTTGCTGTCCTAAAATAATTTTTTCTTTAATGTAAGCATTCTCTGTCCATCTGCTAGTTATAAATATAAGAAGGTATTTAAATGTACAAACATTTCAATCTAGTTATGTGTATAGTATTTTAAGATAGTTTTAATCTTGTTATATGTAATGTCACATTTTAGAGTAGACTCGGTAATTAATGAAACTGCAAACATAAAAATCAGCAAAACCATAATAGTGGTTACTAGAAAATACTATATTAGTTTATTTTATTTCAGAATAAATACAGCTAGTTTTGGAGGTAGGTTTGTTGTGTTCTTAGAATAAAGAAGTTTATTTCTAATTAGTGAGCTCTAAACAATCCAAAAGAGCAGAAAATGTTACCTGTCTCAGTTTAAACTTTTCTTAGATATCTTAAGGTTAGTTAATCTGGTTTTGATCTCAAGTTTCCTTAAAATATGAATATCCATAAAATATGAACAACAAATGGTTAAATTAAGGAAAAAGAACTTCAAATATGCTATCTTCCTCTAGTGATTTGATAGAAAAAAGCTGATTTTGTGTACGTGTTTTGTTTCTGTTTATTTCAAACCAGCTAGAAATAAGAAATGAAATTTATGAATCCATAATTAATGTTACCACTGACTCATACAAATGTCTAAAATAAATGCATTTATTTTTTTAAAATTTAGCTACAGTATTTGAGTATTTTAAAATTTCAATTATAAAAAATTTCTTCAAATTCTCTATTTTCATAATTTTGTGTCTACTTTACTGATATTTTAATATTTTACCCTATAGTGAATAACTTTAATCTTTTCTAAATCTTCTGTTTATTCATATTTTGGGTTTTGCTTCATAAAGATTGAAGAAATTATAAGTGAATATATATATACGTGTGTGTATGAAAGAAGGAATATATAAATGTGTCTATGAGATGAGAGTAATAATCAAATTTGTACAATATAAATTGTGACATAATACAAATATTGCACTGATATAAGTTCAACTTAATTTAATGATTCAACTTAATGAATAATCATTGCTTAATTATTCCTTAAGTAAAAAGTTATTGTGCGCCAACTGTTCAGTGACTTAGCCAAGGGCATTTGCACTGGTGTTTTAAATGATAACATGAACGTTAATGGAATCAGGAGTTCCTATACTTCTCAGATTTCAGTATGCTTTAGTGCACATAGGTATCATTGAGAATACAGCAAACCGATTTAAGAGGATTTTCAAGAGCAATGACCTCTTTGTCATCCACAAAATGTACTTATCATGGGCCCCCTCAGAGAAAGGTCCCTGTGGTACTGCTCAAATCTCCAGGGTGGAGGAACAGAGATTGGTGAAACTTTCCTAGAAGCATCCTCTCTGATACGAGCACAATCCACTGTGCCCACACTTCGTGGGCTAGGAGGAGACGTCTGATTCCAAGAGGAGGTGCAGCGTGGGGCACGGTGTGAATAAACACACATGGCAATGCAGTCTACTCTGGAGACCAGTGCAAGGGTTTTTTTTGTATTGTTTTGTTTTGTTTTGTTTTTTTAGTTGATAGCTAAATGTAAACAATACTTCTGCAACTGGGAACAAAAAGAATCTTGTCTAAGAATAAGTAGAATTTTTATTTTGCTTAATATTAGACTCCATGTCTTTCTCTTTCTTTATTAGAGACTTAAGCAACAACCGAATAAGCACCCTCTCTAATCAGAGCTTCAGCAACATGACGCAGCTTCTCACCTTGTAAGTGTGGAAGAGGCACTAGCTGTGTATGAATTCACAGGGCAAAAACACAGCTATTGCACACATTCAGTTCCCAGTACAGAAGACAGTCCTTGCCCTCGGGGAGTGGCGGTTCCACTGGGAAAAAAAAAAGTCTCACTAAACAAACAAGAAAACAGTAATTTATTTTTGTGCTGGGGTAAGGGGAGCCTGTACAAGGTTAGGGGAGACAGTTAAAGTAGGTTTCTGGTGAATGGATCTTAAAAAGGGAGTGGTAAAATGGGCAATGGTAGGAAGTGGGAATCATTCTAAATTTTATTTAGGGAAATAAGTATATTGTATTAGGGAGCCAAAACTAACGTAAATAATGTACATTATGTAAATATTCTCAGCGTAGAGCGTGCCTGGGTGGCTTGTTTCCTAAGTGCCTTACTTTTGAGTGACATGCAGATTTACAGGATGACTGAATAAAATAATTGCATATGGTTTCAGAATTCTTAGTTACAACCGTCTGAGATGTATTCCACCTCGAACCTTCGATGGATTGAAGTCTCTTCGTTTACTGTAAGCATTCCATGTTGACAAATGACCTCTTTTCTCAGGAATTAGAGTACTGAGACATTTTTCTAGGATTTCACTGCTTGGTTGATTATTGACTATTTTCAAATACACATTAGAATTCTCACATAAATTTGGAAATAGAAAAATTACATGTTACTATATCATTATACTTCGAAATAGAAAAATTGTATCATATGGTTTAGTGGCTTTGTAGGAGACAATATAATTTTTCCTTTTGTAATATGTATTGCTACTCTAGTCATTTATCTGTTATGTTACATTAAATCATGTTTCATATAACTAATTAATTTTTAAATACAGCAAAGCAATTTCATTAGAAATCACACGGTATATGAATATACCTTTATTGTTAAATGTACTGTATATGAAATAAAGTATCTCAGTCCCACACCCTATAATTAAAATTATAACAGTTTGATTTGGATTTTTTTGTTTTTTAAATGCATTCTGGTTTTCTTTTTATGCCAGAAGTGTTCACACAGCTATATAGCATTTAAAGTTCATAAGTAAGAGCTTTTCTTATTCCCCCATGAGCTATTTTCATTTTTAACATGTGCTTCACAATGTTTCTATTCTGGGGTACAGAAATATTACACATTTAAATGATACGCAGTGTCCCACTGGTCAGAGGAACCATACCTTATATAATCATGCTCACATTTACTGTCCCCTGGTTATGTTACAGATTTTCATTATTCTGCACAGTGTGCTAAGAGACATTTTATGCATTTGCCTTAGTGCGAATATACTAGCATTTTGCAGCAACAGGGGAGGAAAGTACAGTCAAGTGTGTTGGGAGAATACCAAAAGTGTCAGCTTACCTCCCATACAAGATTTTACCAGGTTACAAATTTTACCATCAGATGTTTAGTACTGTACCATTTTAAAAGTACTCTTGAAAACAATGAGTACTATGAGCCATTTTATTTTTCTCGTTGTGATAGATTCAAAATTATTTTCCAGTCCTGTTTTAATTTCCGTTTTTAATTACTAGATCATTTAAGTATATTTTGTTTATTGAACATCTGTGCTTATTTTAAACAAAGTCACAGCTTTTGTTTTCCCATCATCTATTAGGTAATTTGTCTCTTCATTATTATTGTGAATGTCTTTATGCTTTTACTTTGTACCACATGTTTTAGGTGTTTTTATAAAGAAATTAAGCCTTGTGAACTATACTGCTGCAGATATTTCCCATTCGGTTCCGTGAATGAATTTATGTCATGAGAATACATTTTTATTGTCAAAAATGCACCACTGTTTTGCTTTATGATTTCTGGAACTTAGATCATGCTTTTGAAAGACTTCCCCTCCTCAGGATTATATCAGAGAGTGCATTTTCTTCTATTGAAGTGTTACTTTTATTTTTATATTTAACTCTCATTCTGGAATTTATTTTGGACACGTGATGTGAGGTGGGAACGTGGGAACTAGCTTTCTTCTTTTCTAAATATATATTGTGTTGTATCGATGCTATTAATGGAATACACTTTTCTGCACTGACTTAATGCTTATTACTAACAAAAATGTAACGAATGTGTGGGAATTACTCTGAGTTCTTTGAAGTACAGGAAATTTAATGTTGTGTTCTCTTGCTTTCAGCTCTTTACATGGAAATGACATTTCTGTTGTGCCAGAAGGTGCTTTCAATGACCTTTCTGCATTGTCCCACCTGTGAGTACCTAGCCCGTACGTATGGACGTGTGGAGGGTAGGATTTTCCCTACTAAGTTAATTTAGAGCAGTCTTCTACTGCACCTCTTGGTGTAACATCATAGACTGAGTCTGATTTAATCTTTTTTAAACAAATGTGAAGACTTTAACCTGGATATGATGCCTTCTGCAAGACAGCCTTAATTTAGTCTTTTGGTTTTTATTCCCTATTAGTTGAGTTCTTGTTCCTTATCTAAAAGTATTTTACATAGATTCCTGAACTCACTGCATTATTTCTCATTATTCTCTGCTTTTAGAAAACTCGTTCCCTTTGAATTTCATCTGGCCCAATCCTACTTTTCTGAATCACATCCCAATATCCTCTCCATAAAGAAGCCTACCATGATTTGCTTAGAGTGAATTCATTTCTTTAGCAAATATTACTTAAAATTGACCATGATCCATGAAAAAATAAATTTAACGAAGTTCAAAACTTTGTAATCTGGTGGTGGGAAACAGCTTATGTTTCTGTTTTCTCTTTTCTTTTCTTATACTGGGCATTGAATCCAGGGCCTTCACACTGAGCTACACGTGATTTAGTTACTTTCTGGAGATAAGATGCCCAAGCTGGGCCCAAACTTGCAGTCCTCCGGCCTCAGTTTCCCATATGGCTGATATTTACAGCCACGCACCTGTTAGTTGTGGCTTACATATGTGTTCTTTCCTAGTGGCCCATTGTATCACCAATCAATTAAAATATACATGATAATCATGGCCCCAAGAGCTCATTTGTTTTGAACAGAATTGATTTCATTTGTTACTAAGCATCATAGTAAGATTGTGGCAAACCTAGAAAAAAATTTAGGGATCGACTCTAGGATCCAAATCTTCCAAGAGTAACAGAGTTTGGCATTAGGAAGTTATCTGTTTCTGCTTGAGTATCAGTGTCATTTGGGACTCTTCCCATGAAAGAGGTCACCTGCTGAGTTCCTTCGTGGCTTTGCTCTCCCTTCCAAATCACACAAACACCAATAGGATAAGAAACTTAGAAAACAGAGAAAGGAGGTGGTTTGTGGAGTAGTGCCCGGTGGTCAAACATGTTACAACTGCATCTGCTGGGGCTGGAGATTTAGCTCAGCGGCATAAGCACCTGCCTTGTAAGCAGGCAGTCGTGAGTTCGATCTCTGGTACCGATAAAAAGGAAAAAGCCAAAAAACAAAACAAAACAACTACATCTGCCTTCTGGGAGCTCTATAATCAGTGGGAGTCCTTACACATCCACTTAACAGACTGGGTGCTCAGAGCTCAGGAACCCTATTTTCTTGTCTTTCAGCCCCAGCATCTAACTAAAAATCAGCGTTAAAGCCAACATGGCTGGCCTTTATATGAAATGCAGTGAAGAAAGCCCTTAGCTCAGGGCACAGTGCTGCTGCACTCTGGTAGAGAAGGTCTGAAGAGAGCCTCCTGGCGTTAGGGTCACACACAGATCAGGAAAATGCTGCTTGAGCTGAGTGGATCTGGCGTGGTATGACCACCCTCCCGCCTCAACGGGACTGCAATTGGAATTTTGCTCATTTTAAATTTAGAAGTGTTTGACTCTCACATGCATATGAGCACAACATTTTTTAAACTTCAATTCTTAGATAAAATTGGGCACTGACATTGCTAAATAGAAAGTATTACCATTTTAAGTGTATTCGTAGAGTTACTTTATGTATAACAATAATTAACACGCTTCTAGACTGCAAATCTAAAGGTATTACTCATCAAACACTGATTAACCAGAATTAGTAAGTTTTTAAATGCTACTTTAGACATAAACTACTTGTGTCCAAGCTTTGAAAATTTGTTAAACTACTATTAAATTCTCTTGACTCGGTGTCTTAATCTTCCAATTAGATTGTTCATAATACTGACTTCATGGAGTTGGTATTTCAAAGAAAATGAAGCGACCCTTGTGAATGGCATAGCTCAGCTGCTGCAGATGAAAATGATATAATGAATATTAGCTGTTATCTTGACTACTTTTCTATCACTATTATTGATTATGAACCACAGTTCTGAAATAAAAGACTGTAAAGTGACAGACTGGGAAAGGTTCATATCAGCTCTAGTAAACTCGCTTTATGTATCTTTATCATTTGTACCATTTTTTTAACCTCTGTTCATCTGTACTTACTAGTTGTTCACTAGAAAGTTCCATCTCAACCTTTTCATCTTCGTTCCAACTATATATTTAACTCTATCTAAGAAAACTTAGACTTTCTTAGCTACAAAACTCTGCTTTGTAGAAATTCAGCCTGCTTGTCAAGGTGCCTTGTAAGTATATCCATTAGTACTTATTTCTAATGAAAATTATTTGCATGTGGCTAGGTGCTAATCTCTTCGGCAGGGAGTTTTTGGAGTTAAGTAATAATGCTTATTCATATTTGAGTCCTCAGAACCTTACTCAGTGACTATGGTCTCAGTAAGTAATGGATACATCCAAGAAATGTTATTCTGCCCTAGGGTACCCTTAAATCCCACATAAACCTCTCATAAGTATGAGGAGACCTTGGGAACACAAGGTAAGTGTTAAAAGGAGTGACAACTCACTAAATCTCCTCTGTACATAAATCAGGGAATTGCCAATTGTTCGCAGTTGTTATTATCAGTAAGTCTAGAGGGATTTTCTGTTGAGCATCTCTTTGAATTTTGTTCCCTTAGGAAATAACAATCCTTCTGTACTTGTGTGTGTATGTGTGTGTGTGCTTCTGTGGTGTTTTCCCAGAGCAATTGGAGCCAACCCTCTTTACTGTGATTGTAACATGCAGTGGCTATCCGACTGGGTGAAGTCGGAATATAAGGAACCGGGGATCGCTCGCTGTGCTGGTCCTGGAGAAATGGCAGATAAGCTGTTACTCACCACTCCCTCCAAAAAGTTTCTGTGTCAAGGTATGACTTCTTCATCTGTACTTCTTTTAAAAAAATAATTGCTAGTTAAAAAAGAAAAAGACAACCATTTGACACTTAGGCTTCAGAAACATCACTGGGAGGCCCCCCAAAGGATTCCCTTTCCACCTGTCCATGATGGGGGAGAGAGAGGTTTCCTGAGATGCTCAAGGAAAAAGTTAAACTTCCCAAATACAATTCAAAACTATTTGGTTGGAAATGGCTATGTTTTCTTGGACATGTAGGTTCAAATGCAAGGAATACAATTTCTGAACATTCCTCTCAAACCCTCTAATAAGTACAGTGTTTTGCTTTTGCCTCATTTCTGTGCAAACCCTGCCCTTAGGGCTGCCGGGGCCCTGCGGCTTCCTGATACCAGGTAAGGAGCAGTGGACCCTCCCAAGTGTTCCTGCCAAACCTCTGGCTCACCTTCTTGTGCTGCAGACTTCCTGAGCTGATGCTCCTTCCTCACTTGTACCCTTCCTTTTCCCTTTGATGTGTTTGTGACTTCTGAATAGTACCTTCATAACCAGTATTGCTCTCCTCTCTTACTACAAGAGTGATACATGCAAATGATCTAAATAGGAAAACAAATCTAAATCGGAAAGCATCAACAAGAAACATCTTATTTCTGCAGGAAGAGATAAAATTAACTCTTAATCACACTGCCTAGGTGAACACAACTAAACTTATTTCAGGCATCTTTCCATTTCAAATGAATTTAGGTTTCTTCTATGAAACGGGATAGAAGTCACTATTATTCTTCAATGATAGATGCTTTAAGGGACCCAGTGAGAATTAGATGGGGGAGAAAATTTCTTGAAATTTCTAAACGTGTGATCATCAAATGTTGAATAGTCATGTTTTGTATGTAGAACTAAATCCTGTGCACTGTAGACCACAGACAAAAACGCTGTGGTCTTCCCTTCCACGACTGGCTAACCTGGCTGAAACAAGTAAGCTTTCAACAATTGAACATTTATTTGGAGAGGGTGTATTGAAGTAAGTGACACTGTGCCGTGGGTTGACCTGTTAGATAGGGTTAAATTCCAGTTTCATTTCCTACTAGCCAGATAACTCTAACTTAATCACTTAACCAGGCTGTGTCTCAAATTCCTCATGTATAAATAGAGGTGTAAACATCAAAGTTTTTTATTAAAATTAAATGAATTGTTATATACAGAGCATACACACAGTAAGAACTCAATATAGATTAACATAGAATTGTACTACAGCATTCCAGAACATCAATACCCCCAAAGTAAAAACGATGGGAGACAATCTGATTGTTTAACAAAGAAGGAATTTTCAAGAACTGGAGAGTCTCAACCATTTTAAAGTTGACATTTCTAATGCTGTACATATTTGCAAAATCATTATAATTGCAGCACATTGTAAATATTAACATTCTAAAACATTTTTCTTATGCTAATTCTTTAAATGTGTTTGATGGAATCTTAATTCCACATTTAGCATTAAATAAGAGCAAGACCCTCCTTAATATATATATTTCACTGTCTTACCCCAAAAAGCATATATTTTTTCTTGAATTCCTATTACAAGAAATAGAATTGAATCATTCTTTGGTACCAAAAAACAAATATTCCAAAAGGAATTTTAAAAAATTTATTTGGGGCCAGGGATTCAGCTCAATGGCATACATAATCACTTGCCTGGCAAGCATGAGATCGTGAGTTCAATACCTGGTACAAAACAAAACAAAACAAAATTTCTTGATTCCACAAGTCTGTGTTTATCTTTTGCTCTCAGTTGAATTATTGTCATTCATCCTGGGACATCATTAATCAAAACAGCACAAATATTTATCATTAAAATATTTTTAGTAAAAAGGTAAACTTTATGCAATTTTACGCACAATCATTTTTATATGTTTATGTGTATATGGAATTATGTGTATTGATTACAAGTACTTTGCAAATTACAGCTATTTGAAATTCTTCTTTTATAATCTTCAGTGTTTCTTGGGACAATGCGCCATGCTAAGTTTTTGGAAGACTGATAGGGGAAGTGGGAAAGAAAAGATTGTCAAAGGAGTTAGGGAAGAAGAAAGTAGCATAAAATCTTGTTTTTAAGCATGTTATCTGGCAGATTACACAGCGAAGTTCAGAAATTACAGATTGATTCTGTTATGCCTCTCTGTGCCCAGGGATACATTTGCCTCATTTTTAAGCATGAAGGTGCCTGACTTTACAGTTCCTTAGAACTATTTCTCTTTTGATATTTTTTCTTTCTTGCTGTCCTCCTACCTTCTTTTCTTCCTTTCTTTTTCAGAGACTTCTTTAAAAAATTACAACACAATTTTGAAAAGTTACATCTTTATATTCCATTCTTGGAACATCATAGCTTGCATTAGTTTATTTGATCTCTCAAGAGGCCAGTGATTAATCGTACCCGCATTTTCACTGAATGGCTGTAATATCTTGTGTATTTAATACAGCATAAATGGAAATAAGCTTGAGGAGAAACTGGTCCTTATCAGCTCTGCTCTCTACAAATTTCTACAGTGAAGGAAATGTTTCTGTCTTTACTATCTAATATAGTAGGCACATGTAGTTATTGAGCAGTTAGCATGAGGCTAATATAATAAAGGAATTTAACTTTCTATTTTATTGAAATCTACATTTAAAATACCCACACGAGACTCACGGCTACCATAGTGTATAGTACAATTATGTCTTGTGAAAGACTTCATTGCAAGTGTGATGAAACCACCTGTTCAGACAAACTGACAAGTGTGATATTTCACCAGGTGAGCAAAACCACAGGAACAAAATGCATGATAGGAGATTTCAGGCTGAGCTATGACTTGTTAATTGATAGATGATGAAAAGTCCTAGATCTGCCAGTGAATCTTGATAGTTTTGTTTAATACCCATGTCCCTATCAAATCAATAGATCACATATTTTCCCAGGAGTACTTTAAATTGAATAGCAAAGAGCGCTGGTGTCACCAGTCAGCAAGCAGCACACACATTTGAGAGTCAACAGAGTATACTGCAGTAGCATCTAGCAGACCTTAAAATTTATTCTGGTTTTCTATACCTTACTATAACTTTAGAATGATAACAAGCGCTGAGGTTCATAACGCTTTTTGCATTTGTATCAGAGTTTGTCAAAATATTGTGAAGTTTCACTCTTAATTCTCTTCTAGTTCAAGTTTTATGACAGTTGAGACTGCAAATTTGCCAATACTGTATTTTTACTACTAACATTACAGTAGTAACAGTGATCACACACTTCATTTTTCTGTGCTTTTCTTTATGCTAAATCTTTTATCTGAAATTTAATTTTTAATCTTCACATTGTTCTATGTAAGAAAAGACATTTCCCCATCTGAGAGATGAAAATATTGTACTTAAAGTGACTAAATAATTTATTCGAAATTACTCTGCTGCTCAATGAGAGAATCAAATATGAACCCTGAATCTGTCTCATAAAATTCACTTTATAATTAGCAGTAATAAATTTCCTAAACAAATGAACCATGTTAATAAGTTTTTCTCTGTACTCTGGAAATATACTGGGAAAATGGAAGTTTTGAACTATCCTCAAATGTATTCCAAGAACTATTTACTCAGAAGAAATAGGTTGGTGAAAGGCAAAATAAAAAAATATCCCAATCTATTAATTAAAATAGTTCACTCGAGGAAATCTCCTGAGTTCTGTGTTGTTGAACATACACACTTTATGAGCTTGAAAGCAACATGATGCTTCTTTACATTTTATAATTTGATATTTTCTTATTTTAATTTAACTTAGCCCATGGTTATACATATGGTGAAATATGTTTTTTGAAATAAATGTAAATAAAAACTCCCCAAACTATCAGTATGTAAATTCAAACTAAAATAGGGAGTATTACTTATTTAAAAACATGTTTATTTAGTTGTATTTCAATACATTTTATTTTTCTGCAAGAAAAAGTCACAGAAAAATAATGTGGAACATTGTTAACTTTTAATATTCCTTTTTTATTCCTTTGCTCTGGCGAGACTTAGCTACACAGACAACTAAATTGTTCATTTTTTTTCATGTATCAGAAAGTCATTAAATGCTTAAAACTTTGAAGGATTGGGCATTGTATTGGAAATGAATGATCCCTTCTTTGGTTCATTTAATGAATTTTACTGTGTACCAGACAGTTCCATGGTATTAAGAGTATTACAGATGATACAGCATTAAACTGTTATCTTCATGGAACTTGTGTTTTACTAATAAATATATATATATATATATTTTGGTCTGCGATCTGCAGATTCTTACAGCGAGCCAAGTGGATCTGAGAATAGAACAGAGAAGAGAGGCAGATGGAGGCCAGGTGGCCAGGTGCCTGGTGGCCATGAGCACAAATAAACATGCAGCTAATGCTGCTAAAGAATTTCACTATTTATTTAGGAAAAGCCAGCGCAGTGGTCAAAAAAACCTGGAAATTTCGTGTGTCCTAAAATGATTGGCCTTCACTGCTGCTGCGTCTTCATGCCCTTTCTTTCATTTTTATGTATTAAGAATCCTGTGGATTCTAGAGATACTATTGGTTTCCTTAGGAAGAGCAGCATCTTCCTTTTCAGGATTTTTCTGATAAACTTGAGTGAGGCCTTTGTGTCTCCAAATTGTTGATGAATATTATCCTTGGTCATACAGCTAAGTATGAAGATGTAGCCTGGCGTGCTGACATATATCTGTAATGCCAGCACTCGGGAGGCTGAGGCAGGAGGATTATTGCAAGTTCGAAGCCATCCCTGGAGTACAACGTGAGCTCAAGGCCAACCTGAACTGCATAAAAAGACTCTGTCTCAAAATAATTAATTAATTAATTAATACAAAACATTTACTTATTAGATCAATTTTGAAGTAATACCTAAATTCAATCAAATCTTTTTTACACTTTCAGATTTAGTCTCACTAACATATAACTTCCAAATACATTTAGAAGATTATGATTTTCCCACTAGCTGAGGAAAAAAAATCAAGTTTATATAGAG